TAACGAACCACGATCGCACTTCGTAACGACGGCCAGCTAAAGTCAGCAAACAGCACAAAACTCCAAACAAAATGACTCCCCTGTACCGCTATTTGTTAAGACGTGGTTTTAGTATAAAAAACCCATTCAAAGGATCAACCATAATAAACAAGGAGAAGTATCATGGATATTTTCCGACTTATAACCATGCAAAAGGCCGATGTTTTCATCGAACTCAGTCTACAAACACGTGAAGGCACTTGGCAGCCCAATGTTGATGACCACTGACCACTGTGACGTCACAGAAACGTATTTCCGCGGTGTCAGTTAGCTCATACTTGCAGCGCCTGCGTTATGGAATACCGCTGACTGGTGCGACGACTAAGAAAAGAGGTGTGACCACTCATGAAAGATCTACCCCTCCTTGTATCCGCTCAGATGAGTTCTTTATCCGTAAAGGGTTAATTTTTTTTGTAAACGAACGGGTTGTGTAAGAGGGTTTAATTCGCTTGCGGTGTAAAACTGAGATCAAACTCCTATAGTGTTACATGCCTGATACAATAAAAATTTAAATTTTTGACTTTTAGTTTTTTCTTCTTGGGTTAAAAAAGAAGGTCAAATAAGGCTGTGATAACCAAAAAAACAGTTTGTATCAATAACACTAAAAGAACAAAACACCAAATAAACAAACAATCATACAAAGTCAACCAAATTTAAAATGTAATTAGTATATTAAATATTTAAAAGTGATATGAATTAAGTAACCGTTAGTTTTTTTGTTTGTTAAGCTTAAGTAACCGTTAGTTTTTTGTTTGTTAAGCTTACATGTTCCCCCGGATTCTAAGGTAAGAGTTCTCAACCAAGATTTTTTCAAAAGATGGGTCGGGGGGAATGCAGTTCTGCGTATAGTGATGTTGTCATTTGACCCCTCTCTTACCCTGTCGTAGAAGTTAACTCGCAAAGAGCAATGGCTGTGAAATGCTCATTTTCCATGTTCTAGGTAAAAAGCGTTCACTGAATAAAATATTTTGAAATTTATTTTCTCAGAGCTGAACCACAGTCGCCAGGAGAAAAACAATTTATCTAAATGGTGTGTTCTCTTACTACATGGCCGTGGAGTACTGGGCTCCAGTATTGCAAAGGGGAAGTTCATGTGACGTCACATCCAGTTTACCGCCAGGTGTCGCACGTTGCTCGTGAAACTTTTTTTACGTGGGAAGGAAATCGGAAAAGAAAGGGAACGATTACTTTGATCTTGTGTATAAACTAACGCAATATTCATATGAGGAGATCGGTTTTTGGCCTCTTGCTCGAATAGAAGGAACGATTTAGCGGAGAATTCGAGGCAGGAAAAGTGTTTCCGGCGGAAGGTTGCATTCAAGTAAGTTCTCGCATGCAACGCGTTGCATTTCGTCGAGCGGAAATGGGATTCTGTTGTGTTCCTCTCCCTTCTTTTGTAAACAAACTGCGAAGCCGACCATACGATTAAAGATTTTCGATAATTTACTTCGTTTCTAATGATAACCTGTACATTTGCTGTGTTTTTGTCGCGATTCATAGCAACAAAGGAAATATTTGACAGCGAGTTACTGTCCGATCCGTGAAGTAAACAGCAAAAGCTCAAGGCGTCTTTGCTGCCTGGGGACGACAAAGTTGCAGGTATTATTTAAATGTTACTGATCTGTACCTCAAGTCGAACTTTATGTGTTCAGCTTGAGGTGATTTCGTTTTCGTTTAATTCGATGTAATCGTTTCAACAACATTCATTCTTGTTTACTTTTGCAATTAAAGGAAGTCAAAAGACGGTTCAGGTCGGAAAAAAAGTCCGAACCTGATCTCATGGCGGGAAATTTACGCTTAAATTGTCCCTTTTTTTGAGCACTAGTTAATATAACTTTTTAGTTCTGTAAAAAGAGTTCTATATGCGAAAAAAATTGTAGAGAACCATGTGTGATGATCGCGGTCGCTTTCAAGACCGTCGTTTCGTGCCCTGACGCACGACTTTGAGATCGGAAATTACTTTCCATTGATATGTTCATTCATTCTTGTCAGGATTTCCTCGTTAAGAATTTATTCGTTCTTATATATTCGTCTTTAAATTTCAGGTAACTTTACTTACTACTCGATTAATAAAGAAATCTAGTCCTTTGACTCGAGGAAAAGTCTCTAGTCAAAACAAGGTGTTGAGCATTTCATGTTGTTCTCAGCTTAACCCTTACACTACTTTGTTGAAATTATTGCATTCATGTCAGAGAAAAAAAAAAATTAAAAAAATACTGCAATGTACAAAATCTCCTGGCCTGTGACAGGAATGTGCTGAGGTTTGGCATCTGTATCCTAAAGTGGTGAATTCTAAATTGCCTAAACATTTTTTCGGAATTAAAGATAAGAAAACTTACAGCAAAAATATTGGTTAGATTCTAAAAGTCTTCAAGTCTAAGTTTTGCAGTCACATGGGTTTGTTGGTTTGGCTTGTCAGGTCTCATCCTTTCTTAAATAACTGTGGCATTACAAGGGCCCTGATTGGTCCAAAACCATTCATTTATTGCACCTGTAAACCTGAAGAAAATTGAAACAGTTTTAGTTTATTTCACAAAAGCAACAGACTGCTCTTTCTATATTACTCGGTGCTAAATCAAGAGACAGCATATACCTATACTTATGAAACTTCATTGGCTCCCGGTCACAAAACGAATTCAATTCAAGATACTGTTGATAACGTACAAAGCACTAAATGACATGGCTCCAACCTATCTTGTTCAACTTCTTAGTCGATATATTCCAGCACAAAACCTCCGTTCATCAAACATGAATCTACTTGAGGTCCCAACAATTCGAACAAAAACGTATGGGCAAAGAGCATTCTCCTACGCTGCACCGTATTTGTGGAATCAACTACCTGAATGCATAAAAAACGCCGAATCTGTTGACTCCTTTAAAAGCTTATTGAAAACTTATCTTTTCAAAAATTAATTAAGCCACCAGATTTTTTGATATCGTACGTTGTCAAATATATGTATAACACGTAATAATTCATTAGTTTAGATAGAGTAGCGAAAATTACATGTCTAGGATTTTTATTGAAATTTTGTTAATTGTAATTGTAAAGCCCATAGAGTTCAATTTTAATGTGCTATATAAGAACTTATTAAATTAAAATTAAATTAGTTAACCAGTGTAATAACCAACTTGGGATGTTCAGAGAACTCTCAAAAAGTTTGTGTACAATGTTCGTATTAGGGACGTTAAGCAAACCATAACCCAACAGCAATGAGGGTGTGGCAAAACAAAAGATCTAATTGGCAGAGTAATAGCTCACATTTCTTCGCCATTTTCTGCCAAACAACAACATGAAATCACCAAAATTTGTGTTGTCCAAGAACGAAAACCCTGATGGCCAATTATTAAACTTTAAATTAATTTTTTGGATCTCAATGCTGTTCACATATGTGTGGCTGAGGTTGTATTGTGGCACAGTAAGAGACAGTAAACACATCCAGCGATTTGCAAAATTATTGCCATCAAATTAAATTCATTTTTTAATTGACATTTTCCTTGCTGTTGTTGTCCTGACTGTTCAAGGTCTAACCAATAAGAATGAATTCATAGTCCACTAATAATTAATAACTAATAATTGTAGCTTTCCTGTCATTTCTTACACTACATATTTGTGTTATTTTTTATTTGAGTTTTTTGTGTATTTTTTTTGTGACATTTTCCTTTCAATGTTCTGACTAGTTAAATTTGTCTTAACTTTGTTGTTGGTTTGCCTGATAAAGATGCTCTCTAAACATGTTCAGCCATCACGACACTGTCCAGTAATATCAAAATAATTTTGCATATTATCATTGCTTTCTTTGCTGTGATAGTGACATCTTACAATGGCAGCTCCTAGTGATACTACCTTGGATACTGAGGATGGAACCCCAGGTAGCCCCACTCTGCAATTGCAATGTAATGCAACAAGTTCTGCTGAAGATATTAAAAAGTTATTAGCAGAGAAACTGCAGAGGCAACTTACTGATTTTCCAGTCAGCTTCAATGGTACAGAGGTACAGTGAATGGCAAGACAAGTTTTCAGTATTTGTTAGACAAGTGAAGTCTCCTCACTTAGATGAGTGTAGTCCTCAGAAGGACTGTTGTCAGTAATGGGGACTGACATTTTTCAGAGACCTGAACGGAAGTTATTGTCAGAGTCAGATAATTAAACATTGAGGTAATACTAGGGGTTGATTATTTCAACAAAGTTTAGCCGCTGTTTAACAAAACTGCGGCGTTCTTAGTCATCGAATTAGCCCAACATTTTATCTGAAAATTTGTTTTTGTGAATAATGCCTAGAGGATGTCAATGTTATAGTGGAAAGACATTTATTAACCCTAAATCAACCCTCTTATGGAGAATCCGTGAGGCCCACTTGCTTAAAACCTTAGTTTAAGTTTATGATAATTTATGACATAAAATTACAGTGCTGACATCTCAAAAGTATCGTTTTATACAAATTTGGCATTTAACCAGTACAGAAATAGAGCTTAATAGTCCTTTTAGTGAATTTTATTTCTTAGAGCTTTATGTCCAAACTACTGTGGAATTACCCTTATATAGACCTTGTGTAAATAACCGGCCCTAAATGTCTAAAATATGAAACTAATTCTTATTGTAAGATTGTGGTGAAAATTTCACTTTGATGTTTGGGTCAATGTGCTCCAAAGTTACTGAATTTCTGCAAATTGTTGATATATAAGTTGGAATTTTTTTTTCATTCAGTTTATACTTTTTGGAGAAAATTATCAATATTAAGTAAATGGTGTGGTACTTCTAGAGCATTTACTTATCCATTGAATACATATACATGTATTCAATGTCACAGCTGTACAGGTGTGGCTGTAGCTCTATAGTTAACCCTTGAATTGCCAATATCTGATTGTGTATTCTTCCATTCTAACTGCTTCACATTTCCTTGTAAATTATAAGTTGTGAAAATTGAATGTTAGATGAAGATAGCAACTTCTAGCAGACAAGTTTGAGTATTCTCATTACCTGTTTGCTGGATCATGTAGAGATGTTATAGGGAGAAGTTACATGTTCATCACTTTTGGGAGTTCAAGGTGTTAAGATTAAAGTTGAATAGAATCATAAAGAAAATGGAAAGGTGAGAGTAGTAATTTTTTCACTAGAAGTGGAAAAATGAAACTTCCAGAATCAATCATGGTCTTCATGTATAATTATGTTTTAGTTCAATTTTATCCTCTAGTTTAATTTTTTTTAACCAGTTTAATTTTACTGATTAGGGTTAAAGCATTCATTTTACTGATTAGGGTTAGGGTTAGGGAGGGGTGACTCAGGCATGTCTTGGCAAATGCACATTTTTTATGTTATCATTAATATTACAAATTTTGGAGCTCCACTTTTAGGCTTGGCTAAATCTATACATTATAATTATTTACAAATATATGATACATTGTATTTTCTTCTTTTGTTGTGAACTAGCTGACAACTGTCCAGAGTATTCTGAAGGATACAGGTTTGGAAAATGGAACTCTGGACCAAACTTTAACTTTACTTGTTGTTTTGAATGGTAAGTTTTTGAAAAATACCAATTTGAATTAATGCTTTGTTTTTTCTCTATGTATATTTTTTACTGTAGTTGTAATTATGACGTTATCAGTAATAGTCATTAAATCCCATTCACCTCGGTTTAACTTTTTTGCTAGCAGTTCTCTTGCAGATATTGAGAATTCTTTTTTTCCTTCACAGAGGAGAATCGAAGGATAGAAATTACCAGTGTTCACACTGCCTCACCAGGTATTATTATCACTGATGATAATTACATGTATTTTGTACACAATCAATTTTCTGCAAGAAAAAGCCACTTATTACCACTATTAATTGATGTACAACAGTAAGTACTGTATCCTCTTTACACAAAATTTTACATGACTTGTAGAGTTTCATGTAAAAGAGGGAAATGAATTCTTGAAGAAAGAAAGAAAGTCTTAAGCACTCTAAACAACAAACCTGTCTAGTTACAATGATAAGGTTGAGATTGGACATCAGCATTATCAGGCGCCTCTGGCAGCCGCTTCAGTCCATGTAACAATCTCACCTTCCCAAACTTGAACTTGGCATTATACATACTCAGTGTTTGTGTCACAGTGAAAAACTGTCAGTGAAGATACTAGAAGAGAGAGTCACTAGTCTAATCTAGGGAGTCCGTAGTTGCAGAAACCTTTTTTTATTTTTCCTGGAAGAGGTTAATTCTTATTGTCTCCCTTCAAAATTTTCTTTTTTTTTTTGGTTGGGGATGATCTTTAGTTGGTTTGCCACCTCTTCCAGTTGTGGAACCTGAGGTCAAGATGAACAGTGTTGAAATTCAAGCTGTCTTTCCGTCAGTACCTACTGCTGAAGAACCTCCTAAGAAACGAAGAAGGTCATCAGGATCTACCACAGGGAAAGGTAGACTATATTAATGGAAAACAAGTACTAAGCTTATAATTTTTTGTCCTTCTAATGTAAGTGGTCTTTTGTCAATTTTAATTTTAGAATTTATGCTTTCGCTCCCAGTTCTTATCATTGTCTTTCATATAAGTCCAATGTGTACAGTGTATGATTCTAGTTTGGATAATTTGGTATTGGATCAACTAATAATCCTCTGTTTCACATTTTCTTTATTCTCATCACTTGCCTTCTTGATATTGTCTTGATACTGTAAGGAAAAATTCTGTATTGGTCACTTATGGGTTGATATAAATTTAAAATAAATTGTCAGCTTAAAGGTACTGTCACTTAAAAGAAATTTTGAATTCAAGAATAATTGTTCAGTAGGAGAATGTGATTGTCTCTTGCGTAGTTTCTTCCTTGTTTTCTTGTACAGAAATCATGTAGTTTCAAGCTGTGTGTAAATCCAGTTTTTCCTGAAAGAACAGTCCCCCCCACATTTTTTCTCTATAAGCGAATCTATAATTTGAATGTATTGGCTGTAGTTCCTCACGCATTACACACACTTTTTTTTTTCAAATAAATTTTCAGGCAACACTAAACCTGGTCAACACCCTGCCTCAGTTTCTCAACAAGTTCCGGTCATCAGTTGCACCAACTCTGATAGTGAGTAGCCAAATATTTTTTCCATTTCTCCAGCTCTATGACCGCCCGGCCAGCTCAATTAGTTAGAGCACCGGATTGTGTTGTGGGGGAGGTCGAGGGTTCGAGCCCTGGCCGGACCAATACTCCTGGTCTTATAAAATAACTGAGGAGAATTTGCTGCCTTTCTATAATATCAAGAAATGGATAGATATTCTAGTATTCCCGGATAAGGATGAATAAACCGTAGGCCCCGTCTCCTGCAGGGTTAGGGGCAGGAGATGTTAAATGTTAATTTCCCACGCATGAGATTACTGTGTGGTGGATGTCCTCCCCTGGGGTGGGATGGGTGGGTGTTATGTAATTGTTTCACAGGGCCCCATTTTAACCAGCTATTTGCTGAACTGGGCTACCCTGTCTAAATATTCGTAATAAAGAAATAAATAAAAACACGTATGCCCCAAAATGGTGACCTTGGATTTCGAAAAGTCAAGCCACAACTCAAAATTGACATTTATAGGAAAGTAACATAATCACTTTAAGCTGAGCTGGTTCGTTTAATTTTAAAACAGAGCTCATAATATAAACTGTTTTCCGGTTCCTATCAGAGTACATTACAATAAAA